GCAGGATTCAACTTGAGGCATCATGCTCAGTAAATAAAATCTGATGAGAATGGCACCGTCACAGAATAAGCTGTTAATGTGATAACACGTCATATCTGCTCCAGCACCTCTATATCATTGTCTTGTGTGTGGAGACGTCCGTGTGTCAGTGCAGATGTCCGGCCCAGTTCCTCCTAATATCAGGATGAAGCAACAACCTGTGATCAGCTCAGAGCTTGCTTCAATCCACTTTAGCAAACAGGATACTGAAACTTTATAGTCTTTCCTTGCAACAAGTTTACTTATTCATTTTGTCGTTTTCTTTTTGTTAGTTTCTGCTTTTTCTTCTGGCATTGTGGTAAAAATTCACTTTCCCTAAGTCATGCTGACAGCGTTTTATGTTCTGTTGTTAAGGAATGCACACCCATCCATCCATTCATCCATCTTCTGTATCATTTATTTCCAATGGGGTTCCCCGGGATCTCAAACCATGAACAGTGTACCGTCACCTCACAGTGAGAGGCACTGTGGGGTGACGGTGCTCAGAATGCCCACATGATATTGTGATGTCTTAAGAGAAGAGGTAGAAGTAGTTTATAGTTTACTTCAAATGTACAGAACAAAACAATATTATATTATATTATCATTTTACATTTACTTCCTGGTCAAATCAACACTATGAGAGAAAAGTCTTTCCAAATTCTATCGGAGAAAAGCTAGCAAAAAATAGATTTTTTCAGTTATTTTTTTTAAACGTGTGTGTTTATCATACAGTTTTCTCTTCAAGTTTTTGCGTTGGCGTTGGTTCAAGGTCAACTAACCAAAACCAGGCTGTCAGTCAAGTTCATATGGTAAGCATGAAAAATTGTTGAACTCCTGAGCTCATAAATGTGTCCTATCTAAAATAGAATAAAAATGAAAAACACTGGGGATGGAGATTATCATCAATGGGTTATCCAATGGGCGACGGGTTTCCAGATGCTCTTGTTGGACATCACGTAGGCTACCAGAAATCTGTGACGAATTGTGGAAATATAAAATTATATAATTTCTAAATTAATTTTGAAATTCAGTTTATTTATAAGGCCATTTATATATTTTTCTTAACTGTCGGTCTCAGTCCTCTATGTAAGTGAAGGCGGCAGAAACACAAGACGGTGACAGGAAACTGCCAAACACATCACAATAAAACACAGGAAACAACGTGAGACAAACTCATGAAACTGAAGGAATCAAATCAATTACTAAAAACTATAATGAAGGAACAGGAAATAAGTAAAGATATGACCAGTAAAGATATAAAGCAAAATAAATCACAAAAAGGCACAAATCTCAATACTAAAAACAATAAACTACAATAAACCAAAGTCCAAAAGCCAGAATTCATGGTATCTGGTGAAGTGAGAACACAAAGGGGCATATAGATGTGGGATATATGGCTATTCTAAAAGTTCAGAGGAAGACAGATTGATGCTTTTGGTCGTGGGCTTTTGCAGAAATACTGCAACCTGGGTATTTCTCCAGGAGATGGCACCATCCTCAAACGTTTTTGGCCATTGGCAAAGAAGTCTCACACAAAAGTTAAAAAAAAAAAAAAAAAAATCTTATGTAATGTATGGGTCTTACTTTCTTTTAATATTTGTTCATATCATGTTCATATCATGTTCATATCATGTACATATCATTTATATAATATAAAGTGTATGAATATAGGAAAAGCTTACTCTAACTTTTTATATCTGACCTCTGGCTGATGTTTCACTGAAAATTTTCTCAAACTGTTTCTGTAGCCACACTTTGTTCTATCCCTTTCTTTTTTTTTGTCAAGCAGGCCTAGTACAGCTGGTCCTTGTGCGCTGGATGCAGCATGAATTCAGGAAAGAGAAGTAGACTTGACTCAAAGCAACAGAGGTGCAGTCACGATCTGTGAATTAAGCTTTTCAGAGCTCACCTCCTACTGTGATGCTATGCCCCTTAAATTCACAGTCACTTCTTTTTTCATCTCCAAAACAGGAAAAAAAAGTCCACACTGTGACTTTGTTTATTCAGTATGTCATTAACCGAGTCCACGAGGCCCAGCGAAAAACAGCACTCAGGATGGCAGGCTGGACTGTACTTCGTGTTCCACTCTGTTCTTCCAGCTGCACTTTGACCCACTCACTGTTGAGCAAACTGGACAAGTGACTGAACAGCATCACATGCTTGTCATTAAAAAAAAAAAAAAAAAGAATTTTATGTTGGTGTCTCATGTATAAAGACTCAGTCATTCATTTTGAATCAGTGGAAAATTCAGCTCATTGTCTTTCATACGTTGGCAGAACAGCCTCTCATAAAAGATGGGCTGTGTGTTCAGTCATGCCTTCGAGGTCTTAACAAGTACAACAAACATTAACAAGTGAGAATCTGTTGTCAGCTCACAACAAACACATTCCAGTGTAGATATGGAATGTCAGAAGTGCTGAGCCATGCAGAAGTCTTCTCAAACAAAAACTTAGCCTTGCTTCTTCTGGAATTTGACATAAATATAGGATGTTTTTGGTACTGTAAGGCAGTTGTGGAATTCATCATCACGTTTTCAACACTGTGATTCTCGCCTCTTGAATTTGCTTTATCAAACAAACCCTCCATGTGACTGTTCAGAGCTCAGAGGATTACTGGGTTGAATCTTTTCCTCACGTTTTCTGATGATTATTCTCAAAAAGTGTGGTCAGCATATCGACTATCGGTTCAATCTGTTTCCAATATGAATCAACATTATTTAAAGTTTTTGCCATTTTCAGTTCCGTTAAAAGAATTCAGCAAAATAGAAATTTTATGCACTTTATATCGGCTTTGACGGATGCTTTCTGGAGAACAGTGCTGTTGGCCTCCTGGAACTGACTCCTTTTCCATGGTTTTATCTTTTCATAAAGCACAACAAGTTTGTGTTGAGATTCATTTCAGGCTGGACTGTAGAAGATATGTTTTCGTGTTATTCTTTAGCAATTACACACCATTCACAGGTCATATTTTGCATATGAAACTTTATAACCTCAATGGGAATCATCTCCAGGCTGTTATTGAGAAAAATGACTGCGTCATTTAAATTCTCCATTCTTTCACAATGTCCTGTTGTACTTTTTTTTAAATCAGTTTCAAATTATGCTGGAGCGTGCAACACATCTAAGAACATTTACCTGAAGCCATGTTTCCCAGTTTGTAAACAAATGATTTCAACAGGAAAATCTCCAGTTAGCTGAGCTCCACAGTTAAATATCACTCTGCTGGAATCAGTGTCACTGTTCTTAACACAACTCCTGGGCAATGAAGCATGACAAAAAGAATCGCACTTCAATAACCTTTATTTAGTTTACAGATGTATTCCATTTTGAAGACTGGAGGGAGGGGAGGGAGCATTACTGCTATTTACAATTGGCTTGAAAATGTTTATCTCTGTACAGATTTGAACCCTGATCAATATAAACAATGTTTTTTAAGACCTAGTGCTGTGACAAAGCGATTCTTTAAAGCAAAAAAAAAAACATAAAGAAAAAGGATTACATGAAATTATGAACAAATGGGAGAAAAATAATAAAAGATCACAGAAGAGTAAAATCCATCAGTCCATCAATGATTAGAGAGGATTTGATGCTGTTACGCACAAGACATTGTCAGCAAGAGACTGTGAACTGGCTAGAAGCTAACCATTTACACAATCATAGACTAAACACCAATATAATGTATATCACAAAGATCTAAAGTCATCATGTTCTATAGAAGATTTATATTAAATATATTCTACACATGTTACCTTAGTTTGGAGCATTAATTCCATTGGAAACATATAAAATAAAACAATAACATTTTTTATACATTTGTAATATTCTGATAAAGGAGCACATGCTTCTGTTGTGCAAAATGGACTTATTTATTCAGAATGAGAGTAAATGAGAGAAAGAAAAGTGAATTAAGACACAAAAAAAGAATATTTCATTTGGAGTTGATTTCCCTGCTTATGCAGTGGCTGTTGAATAGATCCTTCGAAAGAAGCATGATGAGTGGGATGGTGCATCAGAGAGGGAGGGAAACGGAAATATTTAATTGAACCACAACACTAGTCGGTCAGTCGTACGCGCGGACTGTAGCGCGGACAAAGCACAGCCACAAAAGTCATGGACAAACCAATGTCCAAAACAGGAGCGCTAACACTGGCTGTTTGTCTATCTGTTCGCTGGTTAGACTTTTTGTTTGGCTAAAGCAAGATGGGTCGAAAGAGCAAGATGCCTTTTCAGTCCACACAGCACTCTGCAGACAAAAAAAAGAGAGGAATCCCTCTCTTGTGACCTATAAGGGCACAATATAGAGGTGGGCAGTAAAAGGACACAGATGTTTATGTTTGTGATTGAGTGTCCTATTTGGAGTTCTCTGATCAGGCACATCAGCGCTTCATCTGCTGCACTGAGGGATTTCACACAAACACATATGGGTGGATGTGTAGCGCGGGTGTCATAGTGCGTGCGTGCGTGTTGCTGAGCTGTTAGTGGTTAATGTTTTTAGCACTCTGTATGAGATAACAAGGCCACACACACGAACTTGGGCACTATATTACAATGATAACCTTTGAGAAGTAAGAGCTATTTAGAAAATAGACCAGCTGAGGAGGCTGGACAAGGTGTGTATGTGTGCACAAGTGAATGGCAAAAGGCTTCAGAAATAAAGGAAAAAAAAACACATGCAATCCAGTTCCTTCCTCTAATTTTCAGCTATGACAGCAAATCAAGTACAACACAGAAATCAACTCTATGGTGAATCAATTTCCTTCTCCCCAACTCTGTGTTTTGGATCAGTCTGGGCCTGCTGTCTTCCTATGTGTGTGTGAAGGTGTGCGTGAGGAGGAGAGAAGAAAAGGAAAGGTGTGCATTTGTCTGTATGCATATCCGCACGGTGGACAGGCTCCAGACGGGGGACAAGCTCGCTGGATCCAGGATATTGTTGGTGTGAAGAGATGAGAGGGGTGGAGGGCTGGCAGCGTAGGTGTGTATTTACAGAATGACACAGCAGTTACTCTCCCCGGTCTTCTCTCTATTCCTTTGACCTAGAGAGACACCCAAACACACACACAGAGGGAAAAACATCACCACAAAGGCAGTCATAAACACAGTGATAATCCACAGTGAAACGCTGATTCAGCGATCTTTTACGACACTTATAAAGAGCATTGCTGCTTATCTGCAGTTTAACAACGATAATGTGTTCAAATGTTTAAGACAGATGAGACAAAATGGGAGTTTTTAGTTTGAGTGAAAAATCAAGTTTGAAGAGAGATAAACACTGAAATCAAGCTTATCCCGTAGCTTAAGTCTTATTCCATCTGTCAAAACGTTGACGGTACATCGTGGTTTGGGCCTTTTTGATGCATCTGGGTCAAAACAAATTCTGGATTACGGCAGATTTATTTTGCAATATTCTAGGAATACTGTATTAAAATGTAAAATCAAATATTTCTCAGAATGACTGAATCTTAACATTAATCAGTCAGTCAAAATGACAATAAAATCCCTCTAACAGACATCTAAGAAATATATTTATAGTTAGGAGAATGTTAGAGTCAAATCTAAAGAATTGGTTCTGGTTATGATTTTTCTTGTGATTATCATAGAACAGAGGGCAGCTACCAAAACCTTACTGACACACAACTCTTTCATTTTGATCAATCTGTCTCTGTTGACAGGCTATGAGCCACAGGCCATTAATTCATGTTTTCATAAAAACCCAAACCTGTCTTTATTTATAACATTCCTAAAAATGTATGAAAACTTTCAGTTTCAGGATTCTGAGCACTTATTTACCAAGTGCTCAAAGTCACCACTGATTGCCTCTTAGCCTCTAACAGTAGACTCTGGTTGAAAATGTTACTGGAATTAAAGGAACTTCATTCTGTTGGTTTAAGTTAGATTCCAGTTGAATTGTCCCGGCACATGAATGTATGAGAGCTCCGTTTTTAGTTCATATATGTTTCAATTTGATGATATTATCAGACAACCTGGAATAAATAACAACGCCATGCCGATGATACTGAGCTATACTAATATGCAATCAGATGAAGCAGATCAGGTTATTATATTCTTCTTCAAAACATGAAGACATGGATAACTTTGACCGTTCTTCCACCTCAGGAAGAAACTCTGGAGTTATAAAGTTACTCCTAGGAGTCATTTGTTCTCACATATAAAACTGTTTTATAGGTCTCTGTTTCTGAAACAAGTGGAAACATCACCTTCCTATTAAAAATACTTACAATCATCTACTCTGTTTTAATATAAAAAAGTTTGAGACCCCAAACTCCATCCCTGAAACACTAGTTCATTATAATATGAAAAAGGGTGTTGCTTTTATAAACATTAGTTTTAAGCTCTCACTAACTGCACTAGCTAAACCGAGGCTTGCATATCACAAAATGGCTTTTATTGGACTTTTTTTTTCTTTTGTATCATTTCCTCACTTCGACTCTTCCTGCAGAGGCATAGAAAATGTAAGATTTGTTGGGTCTAATCTATACTTAAAATCATAAAACAACATCATAAAAAGGTAGGCCGTCATCCAGAGTGATTAATGCATGCTATATATTCAGCCCAATGTGCTGTATCTTGGGGTTACACTTGAAGGAGCCAATTCTTTGCGCTCCTGAAACAGAAGCCATGTGTAGAAATAAATAATGGCTTCAGAAGAGAACATTTAAGGTTTTTCAGCATGTGAAAAACCCTCTGAAAGGAGCAGAGAGGAGGAGGGGGGGGCTGGTTACCTTGGGAATTTGGCTCAGGCAAAGTCTCTCTGGCAACTAAATGCATCACTGTGGTCTTCCCCAGGGGCAGCTTGAGAGCTAACGTTGGAGAAATGAGAGCAAAATAGAGAAAGACAGAGATGAGAGGGTTACTTTCAGTCAGCTACACTAAATCTGTCTGCACAACGTCATTCACCAAGCGTTTCAGTCGACTCTTTCCAGAGTTTAATGGAAATTACAAAAGATAAGCCAGGGGTGAGCTCCACTATAAAGAGGAGTGAGCTGTGACTGTTGATGCTGAAGTAAGTTACATAGTTTAGTTTCAGACAGATCATGTCTGAGGTTAAGTGTCTTACACAGACAACGCAATTTAAGACAAGGCAAGACACTAAATTAATGGCAGCAAGGGAGAACAATACAATGCAGTATATTTTATGCCTGCATTACTTAAAAATAAAAACTATAAACTATCCAAATAGTTGGTGATTGTATGTCTTGGACTTTAACGTGTGTCTGTGGTTGCATTTGAGAACCCACTGGGAGCTTTGATTTGATTTTAAGAAGATGGCAATACTGTGCAAATAATTGAGTGTAAATGATGGGGAAATCCATCTTATAGAGTCCTAATGGGATAAAAAGCTTTATGGATGGCCATGACTGCATCAACCACAAGTAAAATTGGAAAATCTAAATTTATTTAGTGGTTAACAAAACAGTCCAAAAGCAAGCAGAAAAGAAGAGGCTCTGCTACCAAAAGAAAAGACATCCTATTTACTCTTCATTGGTGGCATTCATGTTAACCCCCCCTCCCTCCCTCTCTGTCTCTTCTTTATCCTCCCTGGAGTCTACTCCTTAGCCAGTCTTCCTCCTTTTTCCTGACCAGTTTCTTTCCCCTCTTTTTCTATATTTCCTCTCTCCTCCCTCTTGGTCAAAGCAGGCTTGTCAAGAGCACTGAGGTACCTCTGTTCTGCGGCTGAGGAAAAAAGAGCAGAACAGCACAGAACTTTCCAGCAGCACACGGCTGTGAGTTTGTGTGCATGTCCCTGTGCACACAGGCGTGTTCTCTGGGTGGTGCTGCTCCTGTGTTTTCTCACCTCCTAGTGTTACGTTGCCGTGTAGAAAGCGTCCCTGGTAGATGAGCCTCAGGATGTTAGGACTGCTGACCTGCTCCTCCTCCCAGTCTGACAGAGGAACACCGAGACAAACAGAAAGTCAGCGTTTAAAAGGAAGCCCATCGAAGACATGTCCCTTTTCTATTATTTGTATTGAAATTCATTTTGTAAATCTTAAATGATTTGTTTATTCTCTCATACGTAGTTAAGCATCACTGTGTTATTGAAGCTAAATTCAAAGGCTTCTGTCTTTCTGTGGAGAGTTTGCATGTATTCCCCACGCTGGCCTGGGTCCTCTCCGGGTACCATGACATCATCTCACGGTTCAAAAACACGCATATTTTCTTGACTGGTGATCAATTGACCACAGAGGGAAGACTGAAAATGCATGGCTGCTTGTGTCTGTGCTGGCCCTGTGATGGACCTGCAGTCTGTTGAGGGTGTATTATCATCACTTAACATCAGATGGGAAAGGATGAAGCTATCCAGAATTAGATGAGGCACATATAGAATGAACAAAAAAAAACAAAAAACATTTTAACCAAAGTCAAATGTTCCCATTCCCACATGCTAGATTAACATTTCTGTACAACACATAAAGGATTCAAAGAACAAGCTACGATGAGTTTAGCAATGCAGAATGATCCAACTCTAATTTATTTATTTTTTGTTGTTTGTTTTACTCCTGTTCACTGTCAAAACAAGAAGTACTTTATATAGGGTACCAAAGCAAAGTCTGGCGCAGCATGGAGGAAAACTCCACCAGAAACAAGATAGTTTCACACATAAAGCCCCCTATTTTATACCATCACACCCAAAATGCATAATATTTTGGAGTGAAGTCCGGCAAAACTTGGGGGAAAAAAACTTGGAGTGAAAGATGAAACTGAGGGTGTGGTTTGGGAATGCTAAAGACAAGAATGAAGGCCTTAAATGAGGGAAAACGGCAGAGGGAATTGAAGAGGCTGCAGAGTCTGGCCACCAGATGCTTGTTTCTAGCTGAGCCGGGGGTGGTGTTGCTGACTGAGTGCCTGCTCTGGGTCTCACGAGGTTCCAGTGTGTTGTCTGGGAGCAGCACAGGGCGCTTCCCAAACTGACAGGACCGAGCAGAAAAACCCTGCTATTGGGGAGAACCCCAGTCCATCTGTAGTTTTTCTAGCGCATTCGCCTGAGAAAATCTTTGCGCTTGGTTCAGTTTAAGAGGCCGGCTGAAGGTCTGCAGTATAAAGTGAACTCTGGTGTTGCAGCAGTTAGGGAGTGGGTGTTTTACAGAGATCCAACATTCCTGTATGCATTGGCAATCAGGTTGAAAAGAGTTAGCCAAGATCCCACGATCTAAACAGGCCCTCACTTCCATATGGACCTAAATGTTAGAAGGGGCTTCACGATGAATATAAATCATCTGTGCACAGATGTGCAAAGCAGTTCAATGGACTATTTTATGGACGAGATTGATGTTCTCATTTTTATTTTACTTTTAAACTAAGCACAGCTGCACGTATCACTAGACTGAAAACCTTTCTTTTCATGGGGCGTTCTGCTGAGCTGTCCTGGCATGCACTCTGCATGAGCCCTAGCAACCAGGCTGTGTGATGGTCTGTGCACCAGACGCAGGGGGAGCTGCTGTTTATGCAGCTAACGAAGCGGCATTAGGACAGGCATGACAAAATCATTCAGAACCAGCAAAACGGTGGGTTTTGGCCATGTGGATCTTGTTTCTTACGCGAAATGCAGACTAAGCTTTTTGGCTTTGGCTCTCTCATGTGTAGCACGTTTCTGAGCCAAGCTCTCTGCGGGTTGTGTTTCTTTAAATGGAAATGTAAATACATGCACAATTCTGTACGTGCATCCATATAGGTAATAAAATTAGATCTTGCAATGATGGATGAGGTTAAGCGGATGATCTCCCGTTAAAATGGTGACAGCCAGGAACGCTGAGGATAGTAATAATGGAAGTGAGTGAACCTGTGCACCAATATCCAACCAGCAGACAACATGACAGAAACTGTCAGAAACAGACGTGCATAACCAGAAGCAGGCTCCCAAAGACTGCTGTAAAGATGTTTTTTTTTTTTTTTAAATGAGCCCTGTACCTGAGGCGTTTGATAGGTAACTTTAGACGGTGGAAACCCATAAGGTTTAACTTTGGTTTAGCAGCAGAACGCAGACAGCTGCTCTTTCATCAACACCGTTTCACTGTGCCCCCATCTGTAAAAGACCCACCAAGTATGGCCCAGCAGCTGATTTTGTCATGTGGAGCCGGCTCTGACCGGCTCTGCTGGAGTCTGTCACGCCTTCTCACCGGCTGCTGAAATGACTTCACGTTACCTTCGTGTAAACCGCTGGACTGAGGAGTTCCGTCAGTGGGGCTTTGCTGATTGATCTGATTTTATGGTATTAGAAAGCCTGTACATTGCAGCTGGTAGGGCATGTAGCAACAGGAGAGAAGGCATGCGTGATGAAGGACAGGGCCCACTTTCCCCATCTCCCGCTGGAGCCCGGTGCTGACTCATTACTCAGTTAAAACAGTACATCCATACTTGTTGTTCAGGGTCATTTAAGGCTCACTATCGGCAACAAATTGAATCTAGATTCTCAATCAGTTTATCCGAGTGGTGTGAAAGCCCATGAGCCACTCACCCATCGGCCAGTTGTCATAAACATGTTTGGCGATGTCTGCTGCCGAGTCGTTGGGAGAGAAGAGGAATTCTTCCGTCTTCCCGCTGACTAAAATAAGGCGCAGATTTATCTGAAACACACAAAGAGCACAACCAATACATTAGCATCTGTTTAACAGCACAGAGCACAGCACAATATGAACATAGCACAAAAAGCACCTGTCCCATCCTGTATTTCTGCCAAAGCAGCTGGAACACAGAGCACACAGGTTCGAGTGAAGTAATTCAATAGGAAACAGGAGAAGGATGTGAGGACCCTGTGGAGCATCCTTCCGCTGGATCAACTCCCTTTTGTCGCTCGGACTTCCTCCTCAGTTTTCTCTCATGGCTCTTACTGTACTTCTTTGTCTTTGGCTCCCGATTTGCTCTTTCATCACGTTAACCATAACTAAACTGGTGGGTTCTGATTTACACATTTCTCTGCCTGAGTGAATGTATTTAAACATGTGCTTTATAATGGGAATCTTTCAATCAGTGTAATTAAGATGATGTACAATTTTTTTTTCAGTTATTCCAGGTTTTTGGATCTCAGTTTTTAGGTCAAATTTATAACAGCATAAAAAACCTTTGGTGTTCAGGCATTAAGCAACTTTATTAGTGGCAGAAAACTTTATTACATCCTTATAAAATGAACAGAAACATTGGGGTTAAGTCTGTGTGAAATATGGGAGACAGAAACAAACATCATATTCCTGCTGGAAACATTCAGAAATTCCAAAGAAAAGTCAGGCTCAGTTTATCTCTGGAGGACGTAGTGCCGCAAACCATAAGCAACATTTTTTCTTATTAATTTCACATTGATTTAGAGCTTCCATAAATACACGGATTTCCCTTTTTGGCACGGATGCGTATAAAGCCTGCATGTCTTAAATGTCCTACTTGAGCTACATTTAGAAGTGAACAGCATACACTGGGCTGAAATACTAGTCTGTGTGGCGATAAAACTGCCTGGCATTAGGATGCAGATGAGAGTTTCCCTGATATCCAGCACGGTCTGCATTCATTAAGTGCACCGTCTGCCTTCAGGAGCCGGGGCTGCAGAGCGCTGGCCTCGGCTTACTGCATCTGCATGGCTGGCCCGCCCCGCATGGATGGCACAAGCACGTGTGCGATTGTTGCCGTTGTGTTTCCATGTGCTGCACATATGTCAGCCCCACCAAAACCCACAGCGCCGATGGCCCCCATGCGCACGTGAAAAAAGAGAAGTGACACACAAACGCTCGCGCCCTGAGCCGGCTGCTGTGATGTAACAGGGCTAACACCAGAGGATTGAAACGGAGATTTTTGTGAACACGTTGCCAAATCAGCTTATAGGTTTAAGCACGGCAGAGCCATACGCAGACGTAAACACACGTGTGCGCGTCACACACTTTTTTTTTTTTAGCCGGGAAATAAAAATAGTCAGCAGCAACAATCACAAATGACAGAAATGGCGACAAATATTTGAGGGGGTACTTCAAATTCGTCAGTTACCATGGCAACTGTGTGACCCTAAAGTGGCCACTGGCAGGTTCTCCTTCAACAAAGTCAAACTGGACTCCCTGAATCCTTCCTCTTCCTCGTATTGCAGCTGTCTGACTTTCATTTCCTCGTTCATGAAGTCCCTCTCAAAGTGCATAACAGGACGCACTGATTCACTGCAGTTTATGACCAACGTCCAGCTTAGACATTAGCAGAGGCCGGTGGGCCTCTATTGGACTGAAGGTTTGCTACCCAGGGACCTCAACAGGGTTGCTTTTCTGATCATTTTTCAGATGGATTCATCAGCAGGACAGCTCAGCATAAAGTTTAGTCATCGTATTACAGCGTGAGCGATGATCTGAAAGGCACTCTTTACTGTACAGATGACTGGACATCTAAACAAATGGGACTACACATTGCAAGAGAGGCGCATAACCTTTTGTCCTACTGTAATTAGTACTACAGGTCCATTGGCTATTTTAAGGGATACAATTCAATCGATTTAACTTATCTTATGTAATGTAATATTGTTAAATGCCATATTCCTAGCCTCCTACTGCTCAATATACAACTTCAAATGTACAAATGACAAACAGAAACCCAAAGAATAATTGCCATTAGTTGGAAAAATTCATACTACTGCAGACAGGGACTGTTTGTTATAAAAGAGACATTCAAAGAATTAAAAAAAACACAAATGCTTGTTCCTCTCTAGCTAAACACCTGGCGGTAACCACGGTGTCACCATAGCAACAGGCAGACGTGGGTGGCTTAACCTGATGACATCTGCAGGATAGCTTCTTCAGCCCACTTTTTTATCGGTGTCACACCACTCTGACTCGGTCCACTTGCAGCAATCTCTGCATTCCTCCGACCACTTTGTCAGCCTCACCCTGCCACTCACCAGACCCTCTCTGTCAATCGCCCACAGCTGAGATATCTAGAAGCCTGGAGAAAGAAGAGGCACTGAACTACACTCAGATAAACGGGGCACGCTTGGCCTCTCTGCTCATACCGTCTGACTCGGTGTTCAATATCCGTTTGCTTCTTTCTCCTTTGCCCTTTTTGCTTCCTATCTATATCCGTCTAAATAGCTTTTTCTATCTTCTTCCTTTGAACAGAAACAGGACATTAAAGAAATACAGAGCATGAGGATGTTTTGTTAATATCGATGCTCCCATGGATGGAATACAAATGATTAGATAGTCTGAATTAGATGACTTATTAGTCCTGACTTTTTATTAGTCTTATTAGATAATGACCGAAACAGTGCAAATCAGCTGCTCTGAGCAGTAATCATTTCTTTATATTAAAAAAAAGTGTTTTTTCCATAAAATATTCACCAATATTTGCATACTAATTATACATATCAAAAGGCAAAACTACAATTACTTATGAAAATCTGAATTAGCTGTCTGTTTATGGAGGGATGAAAGGAGAGACCGCATTGTCAAGTTTTCTAATCCTAATAACAGAATGCTGAAACAGTCACTCCTCCTAAAACTGTTGAAGCAAAGCAAATAAAAAAATAAGGAACAGGAAAACGGGCTAATTGTCAAGACATCCACAGCTAAACTTCCAGAAGCAGCACTGTGAGCGTGCCGCTGGCAGCCGCTGTCACGGCCACACGTGAAGCCAGCAACCCCTCTCTGCCCAACACTGTTTGCACGCAGAGGAAAGCAGGAAATTCAATGCCATCTATAATCATTTCACCCAGAGTACCGCTCTCGGCTCTTTCTCCAGGCAAAGGGGTGTATGTGTGTGTGTGTGTGTGTGTCCATGTGTATATTTACGTATGCTTGTGTTTACAAGTGCATTAAGGAGCATTGCTGCTCTTTAAACCCTCTGCAGCAGCAACAAATTATAGAGTGGGAAGCCTTCCTGTGGGAATATATTAGAGCAGGTTTATGTGAAGTCTGTACAACAAGGTTAGGTGAGGCAGTCAGTGGAGATTCCTGAATGAATTTAAGAGAGTAGGCTGGTGATTAGCCCGGCTGTGGTCTGTTTAATGTGAGGCAGTCTAACCCAGGAGCCCACGTGCTTTGACTTGCCTGTAAAATTTCAGCTTAACCTGCACAGCACCGCTAACACAGCACTGTAGAAAGAAAAAAAACCAAGCGCCACAAACATTTTTAGGTTTGCTTTCCTGTTAATTGCAGACAGGAACTTTCCTTCCTGGCGCTGATGTCTACCTAACAGGCTGCATGAGTTTTGGCGTGCCTTAGTGCACAGGAAAAGAAAGAAATGTAACTTAGGGTTAACAATTTCTGGATTTTTTTTTCTTTTTATTACCTATAAAAGTGCAAGCTTTGAGCAATTTAGCAAATTACAAGAGACTGCAATTCTTTACCCCCACTGGCAACGCGCTGTATTAAGGGGGCATTGTTTTCTGGATTCAGAACCACTTTGAAGGCATGTTAAAAGACCCTCAGTGTGTGAGTGACTGTCAGAACCTGCAGATCGGCGTCCTCGGAGGAAGAAATTTTAGGCACGGGAAAATGAGCTTTTAATCACCAAGGAGCACATTAATGCAGAATTATATATAGAGGAGTTTTTTTCTTCCTCTGGTTGTTTGTATTGTTCCTTCCTGTGGGTAAACAAGGAGCAGTTATGCAACGGGGTGGACTGATTGTATCATACAAGAAAGGAGGCCTGGGGCAAGGACATGTAATCTCACAGCCTGTGTCTCTATGAGTGTTAGGAGAAGGATAATGCTTCATTTGCTTTGAGATTTCTTCCTCAAAAAGACTTTCTTTATTAGTAGGTTTGTTTTACAAGATCTAAATGGGAGCAGAATTTTTCATGTTAAACACTAAATACTAAACATGTTAAAATGGTTCCATTTTGGCAGAGGTAGGAGAGTCATGAACTCTATTTTCTGCCTAAGCTTTCTTAATGTTCCACTTGTTTGTTTTTAATTACTTCACCAGCAGACTGTTAATCCCTGGACACACCTGTTTCTGTGAAATATGAAGGGCAGGTGAAATAAAGAAGGACAAAGGTTGCAGAGCGATAACATCATGAGAATATAAACTGGGAAAAAACTAAGGCGGGGAAAAAAAGGGCCCAATATAAAAATCATTTGTGCACCCATCAAATGCTGGAGTTTGAAGTAACAAGACTCCTATTTTGATCTTGGAACAAATTCTCATTTTTGCTGTTACACAAGCTAAAAAAGAAGAAGAAAGAAAAAAAAAGCCAAGCTCCCTGACTGGTCAAGGCTTATGAATATGCCTACAGTCATACTCTGCTGGTTGCCATGCCAACACTTGTGTTAACCATAGAGTTAGTTAGTCATCTGTGCCATTCTTCCTGCTTTTCTACGTATGCGCACAGTGTGGTCTTCCTCCAGGCACCTGTGTAACCAGAGAACAATGGAAAAAAACCTTAAGATCACAGGTTTTGCTCTCCAGTTTGTTCCATACATGTTTAATATCATCAAGGCGAATTTAGGCCCAAGCCACTGTCCATGCTGCGTTCAGGGACACACGTCCCATCCCAACACATCCTCATCAAACTGGCTCATAATTAGGACACGTATCGTGTACGAACTACAGGGAAAGAAAAGCATTTTTGTCTTTTGTGACTGTCGTGGGAAATGCAAATCCCA